AAAAAAAAAAAAAAAAAGCAGTTTATGAAGGCAAAAAGCTGCAGGAATTCCTGATTTTATTTCTATATATGTCCAAAGCCAAACGGGTGGGGCAGCAGCTGGAAGGTTTTCGGAGTTTCTTGTTTGGCTTTGAGGTGAGGGGGCAGATGAGAGGGGCGGAGAGACGGAGAAACTGGGCAGAAACAAAAATGAAGAGAAGCCCGAAGCGGCAGGGACGGGGTAGAGCCCGCCCGGAGCAGGGCGAGAGCAAACAGGGCCCAGCGAGGTTAGAAACGTGCAAGTGCTGTGGAGGATGAGGCTGGGATTTACTGGCTCCCATGGAAGGCTAATGTCAAACTGGTTATTCTTCAGGTAAAAAAAAATTAAATCAGACGAGAATAAAGAGTTCACTGAAATGTCAGAATGGCCAATTCTTTAAGAGGTGAAGTGTTGAATCTGTACAAAAATGTAAGTGTCTTAAATGCCACGAGCACTTCCCTTTACCAGACAAAACCCTTTCACTGTGCACTCGATTTGTTTAAAAAAAAAAAAGTTTGTGTTTTTTTTTTTTTTTGTTCCCTTCAAGCTGCTGTACCTTGGAAGGGAGTATCCCAAAGGAGCAGACTACTTTAGAAGCCGTTTGAAAGCAGCTTTTCTAAAAAACAAAGATGTGAAAGATCCTGAAAAAATTAAGCAACTAATTGCACGAGGAGAATTTGTTATAAAAGAGCTGGAGGCTTTGTACTTTCTCAGAAAATACAGAGCTCTGAAACAGCGCTACTACAGTGACGACAATCAATAACCAGTGCCGATGACTTTGCATATACCGATATGAAGCCACAAACAATAAAAGAGCTGCAACCTCAAAAGAAATGAAATGTAAATCCTTCCAACCCATCCAGAGAACAAATCAGGGCTTTGCTTCCCCTTCAGTAGTCACTTGGAGGATTTGGGGTTTGTATTATGTGGGGAATCTGTTCTTCTCAACTACTTTTCACCTCCCTGAACTAAAACTTCACGTCTGAAACAATTCTGGAGGAAGCAGTGGTGACGTGACTCTGTCCTGTTGCACTCCGACGCGCACGTTGAGCAGGTAAGACAGCTCTTCTTACCTGGCGGCTGTCTGCGTGAATGCCGACGCACGGCCTTACGCTTCTCCTGTCACTTAGGAGATTTTGAAAGTCTTCCACCTTTGATCATCCGTTTCCACCGTAAAGGGACACCTCCTCCAACGTAAAGGAAACTCTTAAAGATTTTCCAGAGTCACACTGGCAGGCTGGCAGAGGCGCTGTCTTACGGTGTTAAGAGAGAAGGCACTACGGGGTCAGGACAGGGGTGAATTTGCACACCGGTAGTTGAACCCTGAAGACAGTTCCTGCTCCTGCCCATTTCTGATGTTGTGTAACTGCTGTAGCGGGAACACAGAACTTGATCCTTTCCCCCGGAAGAGGAGTTTGACCGCGGATGGTCGCTCCGGGGCTCACTCTGTAGACCTTGGCTCGAGTAGCACAGACTTGTGCCAGAGCTGATGCTCCGTAGGTACTAGGGTCAGTTGGCATTTCCACACCAACACCTGCCTGCCCCC